CCCCCCGTGGGAGAACCCTCCAAAACATCGTCCCCAGACCCCCCCAGGCCCTCCAAGATAGCCTGGAAGAGACCCCCCCCGAAATGGGGCCCCCCTCCCTTCATTGCGAAATCTGGAGTAACATTCCATGATCGGGCTGTGAGGGTGTCCATTGCCGTGGCATCCGCAAGCCCAGTTGATTGGGGGAGATGCGAGCGGCCGTGCGGCGGCTGCCGTCTGCGCGGCGATCCGCCACTCCCAACTCGCGGCCCGGCGCGTGGACCACGGCCCATCGAGTGAGGCGTGCCCACTCCTCCTCCTCCTCCTCCTCCTCCTCCTCCTCCTCCTCCTCCTCCTCCTCCTCCTCCTCCTCCTCCTCCTCCTCCTCTCCCCCTCCTCCTCTCTCCCCCTCCTCCTCCTCCTGACGTGGCCATCATCCATGGGAAGGGACAAGTCACTAGTCGAAGAAGAGAAAGCACGCATAAACATAAACTTTCGACGCTCTGCGCGAAGTTCTTGGACTGCGCTGGGCCCCCCTGGCGGCGCCTCCGGCGCCGCCCATGGCGCGCTCAGCGCGCCAAGGAGGGGGGTCCAGCAGCGCAGATCCAAGAGACCGAGGTCCCCTCACAAGCCGCCAGATCTCAGAGATTCTTCCACCGCCAGAATATGTCCACATCCACCGCTTCGGAGTCGTGCCCTCAAAATTCAACAAGCGGTGGGTATGGATATCTGCCCGCTCGCGCGGGCGGGCAGATATCCATATCTACCGCCCCCCGAGTCCTCGACACGCGACCCAGCGGCAGTGGGTTTTGTCATATTCTGACGGCGCAATGTTTGCTCTTTCCTCACCCGATCTCATGATCGTCTTGGCTTCGTTCTAATCCCCCTTTCTGGGCCCCGCTCGGCCCTGGGGGGGGGGATCATATTAGTTTGCCTCGCGACCTGGTGGTCGGGGCGCAGAGGTGCAGGAAGAGAGAGAGAGAGAGAGAAACAAAAAAAAAGAGAGCGAGGCGCAATCCCTCTGTTCCTCCTCCTCCTCTTCCTCCTCCTCCTCCTCCTTCTCCTCTCCCGCCTCCTCCTCCTCCTCTCTCTCTCTCTCCTCCTCTTCCTCCTCTTCCTCCATGATCGAGAGGATCAGGGTCACCGAGGCAGCCCCAGCTTAGCCTCTTGTGATCCTTGTTTGTAGTCATCATGTGGTTGTTCTCGGATGTCGTACATCTTTCCTCCTCCTCCTCGCCCTCCCGCCGCCGACAGGGGGCTGTTCATGCCCCCCCCATTGCTGTGATTTGACCCCCCGTCGAGACAGTCGGCGTGAAGAGGTCCTCCCGCCGGGGGGCCTGAAAGGAGTTGACGAAGCAGGGGGTTATCAGGTACGCTCGTCTTCTCCTCCTACTCCTCCTCCTCGTCCTTGCACTTGCAGGGGACTGGCGCCACGGAATGGGTCGGGACTTTGGGGTCGCTCGTCGTCGTCGCCTTCTTCTTTTTCTTCTTCTTCTCCTTCTTCTTCTTCTTCCTCCTCCTCCTCCTCCTCCTCCTCCTTCTCCTCCTCCTCCTTCTCCTCCTCCTCCTCCGCCTCCTCCTCCTCCTCCTCCGCCTCCTCCTCCTCCTCCTCCTCCTCCTCCTCCTCCTCCTCCTCCTCCTCCTCCTCCTCTCTCCTCCTTGAACGAGTCCTGAGGGAATCGGGTCCCGAGATGTTTGCAGTTTCCGGGCCTGGGAGGGGCCTCCACGAGCATCTGGACCGTTGAGAAACGACTCGGGGGCGAAGGTTTGGTCCCAGGAGGAGCCTTGTGGTCCACGGAATGGGTGGGGACTTTGGGGTCGCTCGTCGTCGTCGCTCTCTTCTTCCTCCGCCTCCTCCTCCTCCTCCTCCTCCTCCTCCTCCTCCTCCTCCTCCTGGGAGGAACCCTGTGGTCCATGACCCGTGGTGCCTCTCAGGGAACGTTCGGTCCATGTCAACTCTCGTCCTCGTCGCTGTCCTGCCCCTTCCACCTGCAGGGATGTCGTCCCCCTTGCGAGAGACTTGCCCCTGTAGTTTTTGTTAGCGTCCACTCTTGTACATGCGGCCCGGGGGTTGGGAGCCTGTCTTGGCCCGTCTTGGCCATCGCTCTGCTGTTCCGCTCCGTTTGGCCTCACGGCCGGGATGTTTAGCTCAGCGTGTCGCGCCGCCCGTTATGCCCCGCCACGCTCTGGTGCGACACGCCGAAGGCTTTCCCAATCCCCGAGCGCGATCGTCCCGAGTCTTTGCACGCCTCCCGCCCCGCGAAGCGGACCGACACGCTATCCGCTTGCACGGCGCAGTGTGTCGCCCAGGCCGCCGCCTCAATGCGCCGAGCCAAGATTAGTTGTTCGCATCTGGGGCCGGTGCGTGACCGTATCCGAGCGCGGCTGCAGGGAACGGAGGGCCTCGTATTCTGGCGTGGCTTTGGCACCGTCGCCGCCCCGAGTAGTGCCCTCGCACCCCCTCCCGCAGATCCGACGTTGCGAAACAATGCAGCATCGCAGAAATCACGACCAGAGCCCCAGACACAAATTTGTTCTGAGTCCTTTCTGGAGCCGGATCGAGCCGTGAGGGCCCCACGGCCAGAAGCTGGGCGAGAGCGCCAGTTGCAGACAACTGGTTGCGCCCCCTATAGGCCACAAGAACCCTCCGCGGACTCTACGAGGAGGAGGAGGAGGAGGAGGAGTAGGAGGAGGAGGAGTGCTTGGGGCCCCGGTGCCACGCATCCAGGGCAGGTCCTTCTCGTGGGATGGGTCGTCCTCGGGCGGCGATGGCGTGCGAGGGCCACGGCCGCCCGCGAGGAGGGCACCGTGTCGGGCGTTCCGAGGCCAGCTTCCGAGGCCCCCGGCGCCCGGCGTGCTCCGCGGACGGTGGTGGGTTCGTGGCCGCGGCGTGCAGCGGGCTCCCGCGAGTCCCCGGATGGGCCGATGTGCCTCCACCACTACCAGAGGCAGGAGGAGGAGGAGGAGGAGGAGGAGGAGGAGGAGGAGGAGGAGGAGGAGGAGGAGGAGGAGGAGGGGTGGGGGGAGGGGGAGGGGGAGGGGAGGAGGAGGAGGAGGAGGAGGAGGAGGAGGAGGAGGAGGAGGAGGAGGAGGAGGAGGAGGGGAGGGAGGCGGAGGAGGAGGGGAAAGGGAGGAGGAGGAGGAGGAGGAGGAGGAGGAGGAGGAGGAGGAGGAGGAGGAGGAGGAGGAGGAGGAGCAGGACCTCTCCATCCTCCTTCTCCTCCGTCCTACATATGATAGGGGTGGGGGACATCGGCCCATCATGCCCTGCACCTACGCATCAACGAGTACGGTAGGTTCGTGTCGTGTCGACCGGCGGCGACCCCGCTGCCGGCGTTCCACGTTGATCGCCGTTGGCGACCCAGAATCCGTCGATGTTGAACGATCTGACGTTTCGGGAACGGCCGATCCGCCCAGGTCAATGGTCCCCGCAGTGTCAGGAACCACCGCCGCGGTACTCCTTTCCTCTTTTCCTGCTAGGGCTATGGTTCTGCAACCGCCGCTCTGTGCTTCCGTCAGTTGCCTGCCACCTCCCTGGCGCTCCCGCGGTGATTCTCGACGAGTGCTGCTGAATACCGCTATCCTCTCTCCCCCGATTGCTTTCGGCTTCGCACCCGCCGCTCTCGCGCGTTCTTCCTTTGCGCAACAAGCTTTCTGGGGCGCAGCGTTCCACTTTCGTGCTACGCCGTGCCCCTCAGTGGCGCTCTCGTTTCGGTGCTTGCCGCAATCAATCATGTATTTCCGCCAGCCCCCCCTCTCTGCTGCTCTCCCCCTCCCCCCTGAGGTCCGACGTAGCGAACAAAATGGAACATCGCAGAGATCACGACGTGCCCCCTAGACCACATCTTTATATGTCATTGTTCGAGTCGGATCGATCCGTGAGGGTCCCCCACTCACTCCGAATGAAGGCAAAGTCCCACGTTGTGAAACATTGGTACGCCATGATTTGAGGGCCTTTCGTCGTCACGCTCGTTACTTCCCCGCCCTCCCCCTCGTGTCTTGCTTTCTCTCCGCCTGGACGTCGCCGGCCGCCTTGCCCGCTGCCTGGCCACACGACGGACCAACCATTGCAAAGGCCAGGTAGGAATCAAGGTCAGGCCCGACGCCCGAATTGGCGAACAGGTGCCCTCAGATCCTGGCGTCGCATTTGTTTCACGACGTGCGTTTTCGCCAGGGAATTTTTCCCAACGTCAGCACTTCTTGTTTCGATGCTCCTTAGCACGTGTGTTGGCCCGAGTACGTGCTCCCCCCACCCAGCGCCACAGCCAGCGCGCAGCCTGAGTCGGCCGTGGCGGCATGGCCTGCGCCGTGCCGAATGATTTCTGTGGACAAGCACTCGTTTCGGTTGCGACCCTGGGGGGGAAGTCAGAGGGGGCGGGCCTTCTCAGATGTCTCGGCAGGCCTCCTCCGGCCTTTCCTGAAAAGTGTTCCAGGCCTTCCTCGAAGACACAGAGCACTTCTCAGCAGGCGCGAGGGCTTTTGAGAAGCCCCGCCGCCTTCCGAGAAGGCCTGCCCCCTCTCACCTCCCCCGTGGGCTCGCCGCCACTCAGTGGCGGCGCTAGCACACATTTTGTGGATCGTCGGTTTTCCTCCAGAGCCATTTTGGCTCAGGCAGAGTCGCGTCGAGCACTGGTGGGGTCAGCACGGCAGCCCACCCTCCGGCGCCTGCGACGCGCCACCCCAGCCTCTTGCGCTGGCGCTGGCAGCATCTTGCTGGAGAAGGCGCAGGTGAGCCGGGGGGACAGACCACAAGCTTGAAGCATGTCACTATCCCCATGCTTGGCATCACTTTGTCTCGATGCAGATATCCAGGAGTCTCTCAGTTTCTGAGGGCGCATCCCTCAGCTTGTCATCGCCTTTGAGCTTCTACATCTTAGGGAAAGGGATGAGCTCGAGGCTGGTTAGCATAACCACGCACTTTCGGAGCTCCGCGCCGATTTCTGGATCTGCGCTGGGCCCACCTGCGCTCCGCTCGCCACGAAGGGGGATCCAGCGCAGATCCAAGAAATCCGCGCGGACCTCCGAAAGTTTATATGTTTATGCATTCCCACTGCTCCTCTATGAAGGCAGTCTCCGGCAGATCGTTCATAAGCCCGGGCTCACGTCCAGCAGATTGCTGGCCCGGCAGGATGACTGAGCAGTGGGGCTACGGCCAACAGATGATGGGGATGCAGGCCGGCGGTGCGCAGATGATGGCGATGCCGGCGGGCAGTCAGCAGATGATGATGCAGGGCGGCGGCGGACAGTACGTCGTCTGCATGATGCCCATGCAGTACGTGGCCGGTCAGGGCGGTGTCCAGGGGCAGCAGTACGCCTTCCAGCAGGAGGGCGGCATGCAGCAGGTGTGGATGCAGCCGCAGATGCCCCTGCAGGCGGCCAGCGCCGGCGGGGCGGTCAGCGCCGCTGGGGGCAGGCAGGGCGCCAGCTTCAGGCCGTCGGCGCAGCCGGCCCAGGGCTCCGGAGCCGCCGCTAGTGGTGGCAAGGAGTTCGACCCGTCGGCTGCGTCCTTTGTCCCGGCGGCTCAAATGCAGCAGCACGCGCAGCAGGAGGCTGTGGGGGGATCCCCGGGCAGCTTCCAGATGTCTGCTGGGGCCACGGCCTTCGTGCTGCCCGCCGAAACGAGAGCGCAGCAGGGGATGGCCAGCGGCCGCTACCAGGGGGGAAGCGCCGCTGCTGCTGGCTGGGGCCTGCAGCACCCGCAGGGGTCAGCGGGGCAGGCGCAGTTCGCTGCCATCCCAGCGCCGAGACCGAACGCTGCGGATGCCAGGGGGTGGACACGAACGCCTCAGGCGGCGGCGCCGGCCCCGATTTTCCGAAAGGCAGAAGCAGACGCAGCGCCAGCGGATGCTGGCTCACCGCTGCACAAGAGCACGGACGGAAAGGCCTACGTGCCCCCGCACCTGCGGAATCGCCCAGCGCCGACGGGCACCCCAGACGGGGCCAGGAAGGAGGACCCAAGGCAATATGCTGCGAAGAAGGAGGAGCCAAAGAAAAAGGAGGAGGAGGAGGAGCCCAAGGCGCTGGCGGCCGCCGAGTTCCCCAGTCTGATGTCTGCTGTCACCCCCAAGAAGGGCGGATGGCCCGCGGCCAAGAAGGGCGGGATGGCCGCCAAGGAGGAGGTTGCCGAGGCAGCGCAGCCCGAGGAGAAGCCAGAGGAGAAGGAGGAACCCGTCCTGAAGGGCTCCGCCTGGGGCAAAAGCGCGGCCAAGCAGCGCGAGGAGGCGGCCAAAAAGCGCAGGGAGGAGGAGGAGGCGAGGGCCGCACAGGAGGCGGCCGCCCGCGCGGCAGCGGAGCTGGAGCAGCCGGCCCTGCCGAAGGCAGGCGAGCCCTCCCGCGCCCCGGCCCGGCCAGCGGAGGCCGCTGGTCCTGCTGGCCTGCTCCCCTCTGCGGACGCCCAGCCCGCGGAGCTCACCCGAGACCCCCGACGTCGCGATCTCTGTCGCAGCGTCGACCCCCGAAGGTCTGGGCCCCTTGCCCCGGACCGGTTTCTTTTGGCTTTTGCTCCGGGGTCTCGTCGTTGGTGGGCGTCCCTGGGGCCTGGCGGAGGGCCCCCGCCGGCCGAACACACGGCCAGAACTCGCCTCCCGTCGCAGCTTCTTGTCCACGACCCGAGGGGGGTCCGTGGCCGAGCCCACCGAGGATCGGCCACGCGCAGAGGGGGGGCAGGGGGAGGGGGGGGAAGGTCAGAAGCGCACTTGCTTCTTAGGAGGCGCGGGCCCTGGCCCTGTCTGTAGATGTAGGGCCCGCGCCCTCTAAGAAGCAGCTTCCTTCCAAGGAGCCCCCCACCTCCCCCTACATCCTCGTGCGCGCCGCCAAGTGCACGAGGGCCCCTGGAGGCCGAAAACAAACCAGGAACGCCTCCCGTCGCGACTTTCTGTCCACGACCCGAGGGGGCATGGGGCCGAGCCCCCCCGAGGAGGCGGCGCCGCAGGAGGCCGCGGCGGTGGCCGCCGCCGAGGAGGCGCGCCCCGAGCACGGGGACGCGGCCAGGGCTGGGGAGGTCGCCGCGGAGGCCGCCCGCGCGCCGGAGGCCGAGGCCAGGCGGCGAGCCGCGGAGGCCAAGGGCGACGGCAAGGGCGTGGAGCTGGCCGCCGAGGAGCATGGAGCATGAGATACCGTCCCGAGGCCTACAGTGAGGTCGGGCACGTCCCTCTGCAGGAGGAATGTTCCAAGACGTGGTCAAACAGACGTTCCGCATGCTTTGCGTCTGCTTCATCCCTCTTTCAAGATCCGCCTGTAGGAGGGCATGCCGGACCTAACCCTACAGTCAACCCGCCTGGTATCGGCGTCACCCCAATAGAGCTGTGCTTCATGTGCGTCGCCCCCTCCCCCGGGGCAACGCGCACCCCGAGCACGGGTATCGTGTGTGCGTCGTGGCGGGCGCTTTCGGGCCACACCGCCCGGGAAAAGGCATACGACAAGACGGACATACTATTTGAGATCGGGTCGGACGCGCGCCTCCAAGGAGAACAAATAGTACGTACCCCGCATATGCGGATGAGAGTGAGGGGGCGGTGGGAACGTCGGTGTGCTGCAACACTCCGCCGCAGCCCGCCGCAGGGGCCGATTTTTAAACCAGTGTGTGAAGGTCGCGGGTGGGTCGCAAATGGGTCGCGGCTGGGTCGCGGCTGGGTCGTTGTTGGGTCGCGGGTGGGTCGCGGCTGCGTCGCGGCTTGGTCGCGGGGTGGGTCGCGGGTGGGTCTCGGCTGGGTCGCAAGTGGGTCGCGGGTGCGTCGCGGATGGGTCGCAGCTGGGTCGCGGCTGGGTCGTGGCTGGGTCGTTGTTGGGTCGCGAGTGGGTTGCAGGTGGGTCGCGGGTGGGTCGCGGTGTGGGTCGCGGGGTGGGTCGCGGGGTGCGTCGAGGGGTGCGTCGCGGGGTGGGTCGCGGGTGGGTCGCGGGTGGGACGACGACATCCAACAACAACAACAACAACAACAACAACAACATCAGCAACAACAACAATAATTCTAAGATTGTTCGCTCATACTTGCCCGTGTGTCATTCAGAACGAGTTCCCCACACCCTCGATACCCGCCATTTTTGTCTTCAATCACACCCTCCTTTAGGGGGATTATTTCTCGTTGCGGGGGGCGGTGGGTTTAGACAGGCGGGCAAACCTGAACGGGCGGACAATCCTTCGTGGGCGTACATGTGCTTGCCATTGGAGTGGTGTGGGCCCTGTAAAAAGAGAAGGGGGAGAACGAGGGAGAACGGGAGGAAGGGAGGGGGAGGGACGAAGGAATAGGGAAACGCCAGGAGAGAAGGAGCGAAGAGGGGGTCGTCTGAGTAGAGGCAGAGAGAGAGAGAGAGAGAGAGAGAGAGAGAGAGGAAGACAGATAAGAGAGGTATAGAGAGAGAGGAGAGAGAGAGAGAGAGAGAGAGAGAGAACGAGAAAGACAGAAAGAGGAAGGGAGGAGGCAGGATAGGGGAGGAAGAAGGGAGGAGGGAGAGGAGGGAGAGGGGATAGGGCAGATAAGCACAAGGATGAGGGAAGAGAGGAGGAAGAGAGCAGGGAGGAGAGGAGGGAGGAGGAGGAGGGAGAGGGAGGAGGAGCAGGAAGGTAAGAGCGTGAACGTTCGAGGAAGTCCTAGGCGAACCCGCCGTTCCTGAAGTAAGTCTCGGGCGGGAGCCCACGACGTGCGGGCGATCCCCTGACGGGCGGGTCGGGCGGGTGGGACATTCAAGCGGGATGCTTGAGTATGGCGAGAGCGCGATTCCTAAGTAAATTGACGGCGTCCTTGGCGCAGCGTGTTTCCTGAGCGTCGAGAGCGCGATTTCCGAATACATTGAATGGCGGTCACAGGCGAGAGCGCAATTCCTAAATACAATGTGAGGGGTTCTTTGGCGGGAGCGGGACCCTTGATTAAATTGCGGGGAAGTCTTGATTCAATTGCGAGGAAGTCTCCAGCGGGAGCGCCGTCCCTGAGTACATTGTGAGGAAGTCTCAGATGGGAGCGGGGGTCCTGACTAAATTGCGAGGAAGTCACAGACGGGAGCACCGATGCTGAGTAAAGTGTAAGGTATTCTTAGGTGGGAGCGGGGGTCCTGAGTAAATTTGGAGGAAGTCTCAGGCGGGAGCAATTGTTGTTGTAATCCGGTGGGCCAGGGGCACAGTTTGAGCATCAAGATTTTCCTTGTCAGAAAACAGGATAGGAGCGTCGAGGGGCACACTTTGATTGAGAAAAAAAAACAGCATGCACCGGTGAGGGGGCATCAACAATAATTATTCTTCAGGAGTGAGAGTTCAACAACAACAACAACAACAACAACAACAACAACAACAACAGTCATTTTACCCGAACGCTCAGTGTTCTCACCAGTGCCAGGGTTTTCATGCGACGCGAGACAATACCCCCACTTCGTGGGGGGGCAGTTCAAGCTCTACCAAATATCCAAACGACTCTTCGCGACCACCCAAACCCAGCTTCCCGCCCTATGACGTTGGGACACTTCACTTCGTGGCGTGCGGACGACCGTGGCTACTACACTGGCGTGGGGTACACACCCACAGAACTTGGTCACTTATTCGGGGCGCGCGTGTGCCCAGCATCCTGCAATTGTGACATACAATACATGACACAGACAGACAGAGAGAGAGACAGAGAGCAGACAGAGAGAGAGACAGAGAGAGCGGAGTTGGTCACATTTTTGGGGCAAGTTCCTGAGATCGTCGTGTTTTTTGTTGGTCTTGCGCGCGCGAATGTCCACTTTACTTTTTTTTGCAAGGGAGTATTGAAATTTGATTATGTTAGAACAAGAAAAAGTAGCTCGCGCGAGCTCATGTAACAGAAATGTTGAAAAACCATTGGTTTTGTGGGAGTCGGACAGCGCGCGCGGGATGAAATTTGGACATTTTTTTTTGAAAAACCATTGGGTTTTTGATGTTTTTATGTTGAAATCGTTACGAAACCTAAGGTTCTGGAAGGATTTCGTCTTGCGCGCGCGAATGTCCACTTTACCTTATTTTTTGCAAGGGATTATTGAAATTTGATTATGTTAGAACAAGAAAAAGTAGCTCGCGCGAGCTCATGTAACATAAATGTTGAAAAACCATTGGTTTTGTGGGATTCGGACAGCGCGCGCGGAAGGACATTTTGACAATTTTTTCTTAAAAAACCATTGGGTTTTTGATGTTTTTATGTTAAAATCGTTACGAAACCTAAGGTTTTGGAAGGATTTCGTCTTGCGCGCACGAATGTCCACTTTACCTTATTTTTTGCAAGGGATTCTTGCAATTTGATCAAGTAAGAACAAGAATTTTCATTTTCTATTGTTTTTTGCAAGGGAAAACGAGCGTCAACAAAAAACCGGATCCGGACACAATCCACTTTTCTGAAGCTTTCGCGAAAAAATGATGAAAATGTAGCTGCGGCCTAGGCGCGGCGCAGAGGTCGCGCACCAGGGGTCCCAACAATAATTATTCTTAAGAAGAAATAATGTTCAACAACAACCATTTTAATACTGTTCGCCCTTATATGTTCGAGTGTCCAATAACGCGTATTTCCCAAACCCTCCATACCCGCCCTCTTCGTCTTCGATCGAACCCCTTTTGGGGGTATACTTTTCTTCCCTGCAGGCCGGGCCCCGGCAAGCGGCGGGGCGGCCGCGGACCGTCGGCCTGGCCAGCGGCAGCGCTGATCGGCGGGGCGGCCGCGGACCGTCGACCCGACCCCAAGAGGGACGGACAGGGGACCGACCACGACGACGACGACGACGACGACGACGACGTCGAAGACGACGGCGACGACGACGCGACGACGACGCGAAAGCGAGAGCGAGAGAGAACGACAGCAGGGCCACGAAGGGCACGAAGTAGGCCACGAAGGGCGACAGCGGGGACACGAAGGGAATGCGTATGGGGCCACGAAGAGTGCGAACGAGCGGGGGCCATGAAGTGCAGATAATGCGGGGCCACAGAAGGCAATTATGGGGCCACTGAGGGTAGCAAGTGGGCCACGTAGGACAATGACGGGGACACAAGTGGTGACAGCGGGGCCACGAAGGGCATGCACACGGGGCCACAACGGGCGCGACTCCTGGGCGCCTGGGTGTCGGGAGCGCGGCGCTTGGGCAAATTGCAGGGGATTCCAACGCAAGGCTATTCTTCAGTAGATTGCAAACAAATCTCCAGCGAGAGCGCGACTCCAGAGCTCCGGGAGAGCGATTCCTGAATAAATTGCAAGGAAGTCCCAAGCGAAAGCGCGATTCCTGAATACAATGCGAGGAAGTCTCGGGCGGGAGCGGGGGTCCTGCCTAAATTGTAAGGAAGTCTCAGGCGGGAGCCGTTGTTGTCGTAACCCCAGGGCCAGGGGGCCAATTTGAGCAGGAAGATTTTCCCTGTCAAAAAACAGGGTGCGAGCGTCGAGGGGCACACTTCGATTTAGGAAAAATCAGCATGCACCGGCGGGGGGGATCAACAATCATTATTCTTCAAAATGGGAATTCAACAACAACAACAACAACAACAACAACAACAACAACAACAACAACAACAACAACAACAACAACAAACACCACCAACAACAACAACAATAACAACAACAACAACAACAACAACAACGCAACAAGCATAAGCTTCACCACGGATTTCCACTCCAACCACGCACCCAGGGACAAGGAATGACCGTTCGGCCCCCTCGTTCTGACTAGTATGTCGTTGGGTGTCAACTGATACAGACCCGACACCAAACAGTCAACCCGCCTAGTAAGGCTGGAGCAACTTTCCAAGGTCACCCGTGCATCCTTCCCCTTCGGCCCATCCAAGACCGCTTCCGCTGGCCTCGCCCCGCTCGCAAAGTGTCGACATGGCCTTCCAAGGTCCTTGCTTTTCGTGCGTCCTTATTCTACGGGTTGACCGTAATATCACAATGAACTCGCGGCCTAACTGAAGTGCACGAGGTTTGGGGATATCCCCAAACATATGGGTGCTTGTGTCCGACACGTCTGCAAAACAGGCCTCCTGATGTTCCTGGCCCTCCTAATTTAGGTATCGTTTTAAAGGATTAAGGGTACCTTTATTGCTCATCAGAGGAAGCGGCGAACGCGGACACCAACGACGAGGGCGGGGAGACCACCAACGACGAGGCTTAGAGGAGGAAAGAGCACCGATACCGCTGCACCCCCCCCGTTTCCGAACTTCGGGGCCTTACGTACGGCACGCTCTCGTCGCCAAGGCTGGATTCGCTTCGGAATCTTGGTCAGAGCCCCCGGAAGGTGTCGGTAGCGGTGCCGGTACCTTTTCGTCCCCTCAGCGCCGAGGCCAGCAGGCCCGAGACCGACGTCAGCGTCCCCGATACGGGCGCGGAGTCGCCGTGCAAGGAGGAGGCCAAGGCTCACCGGCCAGATCCCCCCGGGCCCCTGGGCTGCTAAGCGGAGCGAGGGGGCCGAACGGTCGATCACTGTCCCTGGGTGTGTGGCTGAAGTGGGGTTCCGTGGTGGAGATCATTATTGCGCTGTTGCTTTGTTACTGCTGTTGCTGCTGCTGCTACTGGTGTTGTTGCTGTTGCTGTTGTCGTTTCCGTTGCCGTTGTCGTTAATGTTGTTGTTGTTGTTGTTGTTGTTGTGGTTGTTGTTGTTGTTGAACCATCGTGGCTGAAGAATCAGAGTGAGGGGGCCGAACGGTCATTCATTGTCCCTGGGTGCGTGTCTGAAGTGGAAATCCGTGGTGGGGATAATGCTTGGTGCGTTGTTGTTGTTGTTGTTGTGATTGTTGTTGTGATTGTTGCTGTGATTGTTGTTGTTGTTGTTGTTGCTGCTGTTCTTGTTGTTGTTGTTGTTGTTGTTGTTGTCGTCGTCGTCGTCGTCGTCGTCGTCGTCGTCGTCGTCGTCGTCGTCGTTGTTGTTGTTGTTGTTGGTTGTTGTCGTCCCACCCGCGACCCAGCCGCGACCCACCCCGCGACCTACCACGCGACCCACCCGCGACCCACCCCACGACCCACCACGCAACCATTGGGCCAGGCCGTTGAGGACGTGTGCCACCTCTAGCATTAAGTCGGGTGTGTCCCTCCACAGGAGGAATGTTCAAAAACAGTCAAAAGTAGTCTGGGGACGATATTCCGTATTTTTGAACATGTTTGGTTTTTGTTGTTGTTCATTTTTTATGTTTCGTCGAAAATTCGCCTGTATGAGGACACGCCCGGCCTACAGCTATAGCAGTTGGAGTATGAAACAGTCCCTCAGATAATGACGTTGCAAATGTTTCAAAATAGGCGTTTTCGCCTGCCTTCAGGCCCCGGGACCCTCACAGATCGATCCGGCTCGAAGAATGATGCAGAAATATGGGGTATATGGCTCTGGACGTGATTTTTTACGATGTTGCATTTTTTCGCTGCGTCGGATTTCAGGGGTAGTGCATGCACTGATCGGGGAATGGGCATTTCGAGTTAGAGTGAGGGGGGCGAACGGTCATCCATTGTCCATGGTAGCGTGGGTGAAGTGGAAATCCGTGGTGATCCCACCCCGCGACCCACCCGCGACCCACCCCGCGACCCACCCCGCGACCTACCCCGCGACCCACCCCGCGACCCACCCCGCGACCCACTCCGCGACCCAACCCGCGACCAACCCGCGACCCACCCCGCGACCCGCCCCGCGACCCACCCCGCGACCCATTTGCGACCCACCCGCGACCCACCCCGCGACCCACCCGCGACCCACCCCGCGACCCGCCCTGCGACCCACCCCGCGACCCAACCGCGACCTACCCGCGACCCACCCGCGACCCATTTGCGACCCACCCGCGACCCATCCCGCGACCCACCCGCGACCCACCCGCGACCGATCCACATTGGTTGGAAGAAAAAATCGGTGGGCTCGTTGTATCATTTGAAATGTTGGCGCCTGCGGCGGGCTTCTCCAGAGTCTCGCAGACTGCCGACGTCCCCACCGCCCCCTCACTCTTATCCGCATCTGCGGGGTGCTACTATTTGAATCCAGGTACTCATTCGTGCGCTCCGATTCACATTGCAGCTGGCATCTCGATTGCTATTGCCATTGGCTGCAACTGCATGTCCTCTCTGATGTCCCTTACACCTGTCATGTTCTAGTTCCGATGGCAAGCACATGCGATTCTATGTGGACGGTAGTATGGATTTGCAGATTCGCTTGCATGTCTGTTATATGTCTGTTGGTCGTTCAGCATTGCGTTTCGATTTACATTTCGATTCGCGGCCTGGGTTGCATTGCGATTTGCGTTTGATTGTGCAATTGGGGATTTCGATTTGCATCTGCCGCGGGACAATCACGGAACCATCCACGGGACACCCCACGGGAGAACAGAGGGTCAACACATGGGATAAGCACCATGGGACAGTAACGGGACAATCACGGCGAGCCCCCGCGAGACGCGAACACCATGTTTGTTGCCCGGTTTGGCCTTAGCAAGTCTTTGTCCGCACATCGTCGCCCTCGGGCAGTTCTCGCTTACACGCGCGGCACGCACATTAAATTAACCGAAACAGATTTCTTGGTCGGGGCCATCTCGCACACCCCAACCTCCGTTTTCCTGGGTGACCTTCCCCCAGGCGGTCCGGTGCGACGCCCAACTTGTATTTGTCTGCGCGCCCCCCCTTGCTTGCCGGACACAGCTGGGGTTCAGACGCACGCGCGCCGACCGCGCGAAAGAACGACCGACCTGTTACGCTCCGAGCCCGCCCAGATCGTTTTCCAGCGCACAGCTTGGGGTTGACAGCTTGAGCGCCCGACGCACCTCGCGAAACCCTGTGTACCGCGGCCGCCGGCCCCCAGGGGGCCTGGTGCTCCCTCGGTACTCCGCCTCGCGCCCTCGGGCGGGCACCGCTCGAAGCGAGCGGCCTGCTCACGGAGGGGCCCCGGGGCGGCCAGCCACAACTGGGGGAGCTGTGGTCCTTACCCCCCTGGGGGACCCATCGATTTCGACACCCCTCTCGAGAGCTCGTCAAGGCGATGGGTTCCCCCAGGGGGGTAAGGACCACAGCTCCCCCAGTTATGGCTGGTCGGCTGGGGCGGCGTGCACCTCCGAAGCCCGAGCCACCGCAGGCGGAGGAGGCCACCTTCGCCGAGCCGCCGCCCGCCGAGGCGGCCCCCGCAGAGGAGCCCGCCGCCGCCGACGAGGCCGCCGCCGGGGCCGCCCTGGGTGGCATCTTCGCCTCCAAGGGCAAGAAGAAGCTGAAGAACCTCGCGGCCCCCCGGCCCGCCGCCGGCGACGGCGCCGCGCAGGCCGCGGAGGAGGCCGCGGAGAGGGCCCGCCTCGAGGAGGAGGCGGCGGCGCGCGAGCGGCGGCGTGCGGAGGAGGCGGCCGCCGAGCGGCTGCGGGAGGAGGAGGAGGCGAAGGAGCGGGCACGGGCGCAGGAGGCGAAGGACCTGGAGCGGGACGACGAGGACCGAGAGACGGAGGAGGGCACGGAAGACATGGAGGCCGCGACGGACGAGGTGGAGGCTGCGTCCGCGGACGCCGAGGCGGCGAGCGAGGAGGGGGAGGAGCACGCGAGCCCGCACGCCGAGCTGCTCGCCTTCCGCGCCTGCGGCGGGGCGGCGGGGCCGCCGGAGGAGGTCGCGACGCTGTCGGCGAAGGAGGACCCCACGGGGTGGAGGCCCGAGGACACGCCGAGCGGTGCCTCGAAGGCCACGACCTGGCGGCGCTCCGCGGAGGACGGACGGCGAGGGGACCGGGACCGGGACCGCAAGGGCGGCGGCAAGTCCAGCGGCAAGGACTGGGAGCGGGCGCCTCGCGAGACCCTGTCCGCGCTGAGCAACAAGGCAGAGCACGCCTACAAGAGGAACACCGCGGAGCTGGACAGGGAGGCCGAGCTGACGCGGCTGGCGAAGAGCCTCCTCAACAAGATCTGCCCGGACAATTGCTCCGTGATCGCCAGCAGGATCATGACGGAGGCAATGGTGAAGACAGAGGATGAACTCAAGATCGTGATCCACCTCATCTTTCAGAAGGCCCTCACAGAGCCCCACTATTGCGAGACCTACGTCGAGCTCGTGCACGCCCTCAAGGGGGAGATGCCCGAGTTCCCCAACCCAGATGGCGGCAAGCCGCTGACATTCAAGGCGGCTCTGCTTAATGTCACCCAGGAGGAGTACGAGTCCATGACTGCCAACACGATGCAGCCAACCGATGAGGAGAAAGCGACGAAAGACCCCGAGGAGTTGCAGTTCATCATGGCAGGCAAGAAGAAGAAGCTGCTGGCGAATATGAAGTTCATCGGACACTTGTACCTGAAGGAGCTGCTCGGAGGAAAAGTGATCTCATCGGTAGCCTCAGAGTTGTTGAAGATAGACGGCAGCGGATTGCCTGAGGAGCACGTCGTGGAGTGTGTCTGTGAGCTGATTTCTGCGATTGGGTACACGCTAGAGAACTCCAAGTTTCAATCGACACTTGTGCAAGTGTGCAGCAGGCTTAAAGACCTGAAAGGCCAGAAGAACAAGGCCGGCAAGGACATCCTCAGCAAGCGCATCCAATTTCAGATCCAGGACCTCTTAGACATGCGCGGGCAGGGCTGGGCGAAAAAGACGTTCAAGGCAGCTGCGAAGACCAAGGAGGAGATAAGGGCGGACGCCGAGCGCGAGGAGAGGATGAAGGAGAAAGGCAAGGACGTGCCAACTGCAGAGTACGTGATCGCGGGCAAGAAGAGTTCCTCGGCCGTCTCTGGGCCGGCCGTGGAGAGCGGCGACTGGGACGTCGTGAGGACAAAGAGCCGCCGGTGAGGGCGCCCTTTTTTTCCCTCCCGAGGCCCCAGAGGTTCCCGAGGATGTCGCGCGGCGAGGAGCGCCCTCTTTGCGTGCAAGGCGCGCGGGGCCGGTCTGCGGACGGCACGCGGCCACGCCGGCAGGTGCGGGCTCCGAGGGCGTCCAGTCTCGAGAGGATGTCCAGGCGCGGGGAGGGCCGCAGTGTTCTGAGCGCTCTCCGGCCACGTGGCAGTGTGATTCGGTAGCGACTCATGGGATCGGGTCGGGCGAAAGGGGGGGATTGGGAAAGGGGGGGTTACGAAATTTGCTGCATGCAGCTGGTTTCGGCCTCACCGAGGGGCCCATTCCTCGATACATAGCCGCCTCCGGCGCCAGGAGGCGCCGGGAAAATCAGCTACGTGAGCTGATTCTCAAACCCCCCCTTTGCTATCCCCCCCTTTCGCCCGACCCGATGGGAGCCTGGTATACCCTCTGAGATCCGTCTTTAGCGTCGACTAGCCATTGAGCGGCGTCTGGGGGTCGATGAGATAGCGGCGATCTAGCGTCGGTTCGCGTCGATGTAGCGCCGAGTTTGCGTCGAACGGCTTCGATTCGCAAGAGCCGGCACGGTGGTGTGGGAGGCTCCCATGAGATGCCACAGACGAGAGGGCTGCAGTGTTCCGAGCGCTCTCCAGCCATGTGGCAGTGTGACCTTTTCTCAGCACCCCAGCCGTTTTTGTGGCCCCGCGGCTTAGCTGGCTGTGGGCTGAGGGCACCTGCGTAGGCATTCCCGAGGGCGGGCGGTAGGTATAGTGGCCAAGGGACTTGCCCCCTGCAGCGCCGTGGGGCACTCGAGCCTGTGAGTGTACCGAGCCGTGCGAAGTCACGCAACTTGCGCACAGCTTCTTTGTAATACCAGTTTCGGCCAAGCCTGGCCTTGTGGCAGCGCGCCCGGCCTTGTCGAACGCGCCTGGCCCCGTGGCAACGCGCCTGGCTTTTTTGCACCACCACTTTCAGTCTGGCCTGGTCTCGCGGCTTGGGCTCTTCGGCGACATGGGGTCTTGAAGGAAGTCCAAGTGCAGGCTTCTGCGAAGGCAGGGGGCGCTGCCCAACGTTTTGTTTGAAGGCGCGAAGGGAGGATAAGATGGAGGAGGAGGAGGAGAAGGAGGAGGAGGAGGAGGAGAAGGAGGAGGAAGGTGATGAGGAGGAGGGTGAGAAGAAGGAGAAGCTGTGGAAGGATGATCAGGGCAAGGAGCAGAAGAAGGCTGGGGATGGTGAGTTTGAGCAAGAGGAGGAGGGGGACGACGGCCACGACTGGGAGGAGGAGGAGCGAGATGGAGAAGGAGGAGGAGGAGGAGGAGGAGGAGGAGGAGGAGAAGAAGGAGAGTGGTGGATGTGAGTGCCCCTGCGCTCTTCGGCTGGACCAGCGTCCCCGTCTGACTTACTCACTGCGTGCAGTGAGGAGAAGTTTTCCTTTTCACGCACTGCCGGATAGTAGCCATCCCGACGCAAAACAGTGCTCGCCTGGCCCTGGCCTCGTCGCTGGCCCTGTGAAGTCCCAGCCATGGCCCTCGCTTGGTCCTTTGCCGTGGTGGCCCCAGCCTCGCCGCTGGGGCTCCTCCTCGTCCTCGTGCTCTTCTACACCCTCCTTCCCCGACTTGTCTGGCTGCCGCTCTGGGGTGCATGTGCTCAGGGGAGGCTTCACTTCAGCACAGCTCAACGACGTACGAAGTATCAATCGAGCCTGCAGGGTGGGCGCATGCCTTTCCTGTTTGCGTCTACCTTGGCTTTGGTTTCAGCTGCGGGTGCACTTCGAAGCGCCTCTGGGCCAGCTCATCTAAGTTTTTGTTTCGCTCGCACGGTGCCTCCCTCCCTCCCATTTCCGTTTTCATTATCCTATATTTGTTTGTCTTTTCTTTCTCATCCTCCTCGTGCGGAAGGGCAGAGACACGGACCGGCATCGGGCAGAGTGAAATGCCGAATTCCAATTCTCGCGTTTGGACCCGCACAAGCCAGGGCAACCTACGATCCGATTCGATGTGATTCGATTCATGGGCTGTGGCCGCGATTCCGACTCCGCTCTATTCGCCTGGATTTGTTGGCATCGGCCAGTGCCATCCGGAGCCTGGCGCGACGATCCGATATCGCCTTGAACAGGGACGGTTGGCTAGCGATCCGATCCTTTCTCGACCCGATCAGATCTCGCGAGTCGGTCCGATCCAGGCTTGCCTCCTTCCAGAGCTTCCAGGTTGGAGGGCCCCAGGCGGCACTGGATATAACCATGTCGCATGTCATCATCTGTGCATGCCCCTGACTCCGCCCACCCGATAGAGGCGGAGAGGGAAACAACTCCCGATCTTCGTCCTTGCGGCCTTAGCGCAGATATGCTTTTCAGCATCGTCTATCCGATCCCCATCCCCACTACGCCATGACATCTCGGCCCCCCAGCCACCCCCTCCCAGTTGGCGATGGGCCCCGCGAATCCCGGCGGGAACATATATGGTCCAGATTTGCCCTCCCCCCAATGCTAATGGGATTGATTTCCCCCCCCCGCTTGATGGGTACGCCCGTGAGCCTCGCGAAGGCCTCGTGAATGGGATTGTTTCCCCCACCCCGGCCTGGGTGGGGAAGTCGGCCAGTGAGGCCCAGGCCACCACGCCAGTAGGGATAGGCATCGGTTAAGCGATGCTCAGCTCACGGACTGCGATGCCCGAACTCCAGCTTCGAGCTGTTGACGAGCAACGGCTTGCAAGACGGCCCATGATGGTTTCGTCAATTCTGGCACCCATAATGATGTTTTAATACATATATGTATATACATATATATATATATATTATGTATATAGATGTAGGTATATATAAATATGTGTGCATGTGTGTGATAAGTCATGTGTGCACCTTCCCTCCCGATGCAGGGAGGAACACGCCCACCTTCCCCCCCCCGCCCTCTTCTCGGCGGCGGGCCCGTGGGGGGGGGGGGGAGTGAGAAGGAAGCGGCGGTCTCGGAAGGCTCGGAAGTCCCCCGGCCTTCTGCGAAGTCTTCAACGCCTCTCCCGAAGACAGAGAAGACCTTTCAGAAGGCGCGAACATATCCAGAGCGTCGTGGACTTGTTGGGAAGGGGTGCCGCAAGGCCGAGGCGCACTGGACATGGATAGAAATCAAACCTCCCGGGGCAAGATGTTTGTCCGTATCCAGTGCGCCCTCCGTTTCTGGGGAAGAGCCAAAGGCTCCAAGACGCACTGGATGTGAATACAGCTGTTGCCCGCAGTCTCCTTCTCGCTGCCCCCCATTGCCCGCCGCCGATCTTCCCCGCCCTCCCGCGCTCGGCCTCGGGAGGGGTATGAGGAACGGGAGAAGGAGAAGGAGGATGAGGGGAAGGAGAAGGAGGAGGAGGAGGAGGAGGAGGAGGAGGACAGGAAAGAGGAGGAGGAGGAGGAGGAGGATGGGGGAGGAGGAGGAGGAGGAGGAGGAAGGAGGGAGGACGAGAAGAGGAGGAGGAGAAGTAGAAGGAGGATGAGGGAAGGAGCAGGAGGAGGAGGGAGGAGGAGGAGGAGGAGGAGAACGAGGAGGAGGAGAAGGAGGAGGAGGAGGAGGAGGAGGATGCTTGGCGAGCGTGCTGGGCACCCCTTCTCTTCCCTGGCAAGGGGGCTGGCGGGGAAGGGGGGAGCTGGCGGGCGCCCGAGGCTGCAGCAAGGCGGAGCCGCCACGCCGCCAGCTCCCTGCAGGAGCCCGCCAGAGGGAGGGGCAATCCTCCTTCTCCTCCCTCCTCCTCTTCCTCCTTCTTCTCCTCCTCCTCCTCGACCTCCTCCTCCTCCTCTTTCCCGTCCTCCTTCCTCCTCCTCCCTTCTCCTCTCCTCCTCCTCCTCCTCCTTCCTGCTCCTTCCCCCTCATCCTCCTTCTCCTTCTCCTGTTCCTCATCCCCTTCTCCTTCTACTCCTCCTTCCTTCCTCCTCCTCCTCCTCCTCCTCCTCCTCCTCTCTCCTCCTCTTCCTCCTCCGTGTCATCCCTCACCAGGCCCCCCGAGTAGTCCGGGGCGGTCTCAACACCCTGCCGCCGCCTCCGGCGGCGCCCGTGGGGCCGCGCCCCAGGGTGGGTGTGTTGAGGGCAGCAGGGGCTTCTCGGGAGGCCCTCCTGCGCGCAGCCCGAAGCCTTGGCAGGCACGGGTCTGTATCACAGTCGGCGCCATGAATATACGGACTTTTCCCAGCTATTTTTGAGCGAGGGGCATCTGGGCCAGAAATCGGAGGGCACCAACTATACACCAACACCGATCCTGGCCCAGGGTGATCCTGGCCAGGATCGGTGTTGGTGTATAGTTGGTGCCTTCCTAAGAAACATGTCCACTACATCCTTCTCTGTCGATCCACCATTTGTGGCAGACGGCAGCCCGCAGCCACACAGTGTATACGTAGCACCCCGCTGATGTGGATGAGAGTGAGGGGGCGGTGGAGGCGTCGGCAGTTTGCGAGACTCTGGAGAAGCCCGCCGCAGGCGCCAAAGATTCACACATTATGCAACGAGCACGCGGCAGGCGCCGATTTTTTCGTTAAACCAATGTGGGTAGGTCGCGGGTGGGTCGCTGTTGGGTCGTGGGTGGATCGCGGGTGTAGAGGGCAGGAAATAATCCACCCCATAATAATCACCCCGAGAAGCGAAGCCGTTGTTTTGTCAACGACCATGGCCGTTTAGTAAACGTCAATTGTCGGGTCGGGTCCGGGTGGTTTTTCCTCTCTTGGGGGTGGGTCGTAAGTGGGTCGCGGGTGGGTCGCGGGGTGGATCGCGGATGGGTCGCGGGTGGGTCGCGGGGTGGGTCGCCGATCCAAGAGATCTGCGCGGAGCGCGAACAGTTTATTTTTATGGCTTTTTGTTCTACTTCTTCTAGATTCGATTCGATCTTGATGGCTTCCGATCCCGATCTGACTCGACGTCGGATGCCGCTCTGGACTCCGATTTCTCAGCGGAGGCCTACTATGGCCTGTCGATCTCCGCCGATTCGGCTTCTCCCGACGCGTGCCTCCACCAGTTTATGCTCACATGC